AACTTACGTAGTAGAGAGGAAACACAAACTAGCCAAGATACCTCACAGTTTCAGCAGAGATTCCTAAGGAAGACATTGCCTGGGTCTCTCTAGTAGCACAGAGCTCCCCCTATGGAGAGCCTTCCTTCTTGGAAGAATCAGAGGAAGCCTCTGGAAGTGAAGGTGAATCATCCTTTCCTCTGACAGTTGGTGTAGACTACTGGGGTAGCCTGCCCACCCCAATGAAACTTGACCCATAAGTTTAAGTTGGTTTGGTTTCTCAAATGACTCAGACATTTGACTAATTTGTATCTTCAACTGGACCATGTCAATGCAGCATAAGAGTATAGATGAAGCTTCTCTGCTCCCATGTAGTACACAAAGATCCTAATGCTCACTTCTAATATTGAAATACAGTTCATTAGCAACTAATGTTTTTAATCAGCTAACTCCCGGAAATGGTTGTCTTTGGTTATAACCACTAGAGAGAAAGGCGATTGCTACCTGAATTCTCTGGTAAAGATGTGGTTTTATCTTTAGGGATAGAGGCTTCAGCTCATCTTGGAAACTAGAAGAACTACAGGTCTTTAACTCTTGTGGAGAGTTCAATGCCATCATCACCTCCTCTTTACTTGGCCTGGGGCTAGAGAGACTTCCCACACTCTTTATGACTCTGGGGTTCTAATCTGGAGTCCCCGGGTCAGGTACAACACTCCTTATTCCATATTCACCACTCGTTCTTGGGTCATTCTCTCCCCAGCCAGGCTGTGAGGTTTTCAAATGCCAAGATCCTGATTTGTTCTCTTTGCTCCCTTTCATATATGGTGGGTGTTTGTAAGATTATTAAAGAATTAAACGCCACAGGGAAATGATAGTAGAGTGCCATTTTGTTGAGTTAATGCTGATGTTCCTGAACTTCTCACAGAGCTATTGTCTGTGAATAACAGATTTGTCAAAAACACAAGAATAGCCTGTACCAAAACCAGAGTAGATTGTTCTCCCTTTTGAAATAGAAAAGAATAGGACAAGGAGATTCATTCTGTTGAGCATCTACTATGTGCCAGATAAATTACTAGGAACTTTAAATATGTATTTTCACTGAATCTTTATAATAGTAATAGGGATATATGATTGGAAATAAGGATTAGACTGAAAATAGAGACAGAAATACTAGATAAAATGAATTTGTGCTTGAGACTCCAGAACGTAATTATTGTTTATTTGGATGAGCCTGATATAAGAGGGAGCACATCACATAGGGTGGTCCTGATATGCACAGACATCACATCACAGGCATGACGTCCACCCTTGCAAAAAGAGAGCCATGGCCACCTCTTATAAAGATAAAAAATTGCACGAGGTTGCTGAAAGTATCTAGGATCATACCCTGATTATTCATGGTCTAAAGGACATTTTCTTTCTATCAGGCCTTTGCCTCCTTATTTCTTAATGTAGAAGGAGAGCATTAGATTGGAAAAGGATAATGTGCACATTTTCTCAGTTATATTGAATAGTGACCAAACCTTCTAAGTGAGAAAAAGACAGGAATTCATTTTCTGGGAGCTGAAGAATATAATACTATGCATTCAACATGAAAGGCCAGGCAACATCAGTTCTTTCCTTTGCTTCCCTAGATACATATTTTTCAAAGACTAGCAATTCTGAAAATAGGTACTGACTTAAAAAAATTCTCAGACATACTACCGGCCAGTTATAACTGGTGGCTTTTAATGCCGTGTATACTTTTACATAGATGCAATGTTTTGTGCTGAATGCAATATGTCTATGTCACTATAAGGCAGCTAAACAGAAAGAATGAGGGCTGGCTTTGCAATTATATACTATCAGGCACTATATCTGCATATAGTGACTCAGATACTTATTCTGTGATCTCAGGCAAAGTACTTACCTCTGTAAAATGAGGAAATGTCAACTATTCTGTAGGATAGCTAGGAAGATGAAATGATACAGCATATGTTAAATGACAAGTGCAGAGCTTGGAGAGGTAATTCATGCATAATTTTTGCCTTTCATGTTGAGGATTTTGACTGGATTAATAAGTTCATTCTGTTCAACTGTAGACTGATGTGGTCTCAGGTTGGAATGACAATTGGTAATGGCCATGCTAACAGGTACGAGGTAATATCTCAATGTACTTTTGAATTGCATTTCCCCAAAGATGCAGAGAAAAGGAACCCTTATATGTAGTTGGTGGGAACATAAACTGATATGGTCATTATGGAAAGCAGTATGGAGTTTCCTCAAAAAATTAAAAATAGAATTACCATATGATCCAGCCATGCCACTTCTAGGCATATATCCAAGGGAAATGAAGTCAGCACCTTGGAGAATCTGCACTCCTAAGTTCATTGCAGCATTACTTACAATAGCCAAGATTCGAAAATAACCAAGTGTCCATTGACAGAAAATGGATAAATAAGCTGTTGTGTGTATATTCACAATGTAATACTATTCAACCTTCAAAAAGAAGGAAGTCCTGCCGTTTATGACAACATAGATGAACCGGAAACATTAGGTTAAGTGAAATAAGTTAGACACAGAAAGCCAAATGTCGCCTACGTGGGGAATGTAAAAAAGTAGAACTCACAGAAACAGTAAAGCAGTGATTATCAGGGATCGAGGAGTGATATTGGCCAAAGGGTACAAACTTTCAGTTCTAAGATAAATTCTGGAGACCTAATGTACAGCATGGTGACTACAGTTAATAATAATGTTTTGAATACTTGAAATTTACTAAGAGAGTAGCTCTGGAGTATTCTCATCATACATGCAAAAAATGCTAACTATGTGAGGTGATAGATATCTTAATTAGCTCAATTGTGGAAATCATTTCACAATGTGTGTGTATATACATATATATATATAAACATCACATTGTACACCTCAAATATGCACACTTTTTATTTGCTAATTATACCTTAGTAAAGCTAAATAAAGAAAAAGTGCCAAAGAGATCCGAACAAAAAGCAGAGGGATGAATATCTCACGATGACGTGGGAGAAAAGCAATGTGCCTGGATGTTGCTGCCTTCTATAAACGGAATCAATTTAATAAGCAACTTGAGTTAAAGGAAAAATTGTGTTCACCTTTTTTTTTCCTGAGAATAAAATCAAGGAGAATCTGTTTTAAAGGAAGTAATAAAAGGATGTCTAGGTGGAAATAGAAAAGAGATTCACAAAAAAGACAAAAATGTAGGGAAATGTGAATTTGTGTTTGAGTCTCTGGAATGAGACACTTGTTCATTCGCAGAGGCCTGAGGCTGCAGGGAGTATGTTGTCTGTGTCTGACATGCCCAGACCTCACATTGCAGGTGTGACTCCAATCCTTGCCCACTCATATCCAGAATTTCATAGCCATGTGCCTTCACAAGGCTTACCCTTCCTTCTCTGCATTCTTGAGGACATCTGCATGAAAGCACAGACTGCCTCCTGCAGCTTTCTCACCACCTGAAGTCACAGTATAGCGGTAGCCATAGCAACACCTTCGGTATTGCTAACCTGGGGTTACAAACTCTAAGGTAGGAAACGGGAGGCAGGCACATATTGAACAAAAAAAAAATTAAGGAAAAAATGACTTTAAAAGTAACTTTCTCTCAACGCCAGATGCCACAAGATTATAAATCAGCAGCAAGGGAGAAGAGATGCGGGAACAATACTTATCAAGTATCTCCTGTGCTTCAGCACCAGGAGTTTGCCTAGATTTTTAATAATGAGTAGTAGTTCTGAAAATAATCCAGCAAAGAAGGTATACTTAACAACCCTCATCACTTATGCACGAATAAAGGTAACAAGTTGTTCGATAACTTACTCAGGTGTACAAGTCTGGTCAGTGGTGAAGTAGGAATTTGTACCTGCTCTATCAGATTGTCTGCACCATAAAGGTTTGGTTTCCAGATCATGGACACTTTTCTGATGGCATTTTGTTTCATTAACTGCTATTTCTCTATTCCGCAGTGTAGTCCTCCTTCACTGAGCCTTTTGTGTGTGCCTGCTTGCTTCCTTCTGAAGAGTCTCATCTGGAAAACTGGCTTCTTGGTCATTTTGCCTCAATGCCCTGGAGGAAATCGAAGGCCCTCACTTTGTCCTGTGATGAATATCTAAAGACATCTTCATCCAACAAGCACATCTAAAAAAATTCAACTCATCCCTTATATATGTGGAAGAGAAATGGGCATTCAGATGTTAAAACACAAGTTAAAAGTTAAGAGGTCAGATTTAAAATTATTGAATCCTGGCTGAAACTTGGGAAGAGTTGAATGCATTACACGGAAGTGAAAGATCAAAAGACACAAAAACATGGGGATGTGCAGTGACCCTATCTCTTCTTCCTGTTTCTCATCAAAATAGTGAATGTCCGTACTCAGAAACCTCTCAAATGAAATTCTGTTCAAGGTGGGACTTTAATCTTTCTCTTTTTGTTTTTCTATATTTCCTTAGGTGTTTATGATCATGATACACTATCATTATAATTGTAGAAAAAAGTTATATTTTAAAAGCTCAAAATATTAAATTTTTAATAAAATAGGGCACACATATGCATGTACATGCATACATCATACACATACAGAAAAATGCTTAGCAAACCAGGCCCAAGATTGGTTATAGTTTAAATAAATAGGCAACAGAAAGGTCTTAGCTTGCTTTTTTTTTTTTTTTTTAGGAAAGTCTCCTTCTATTGCCCAGCCTGGAGTGCAGTGGCACAATCTTGGCTCACTGCAACCTCCACCTCTTGGGTTCAAGCAGTTCTCCTGCCTTAGCCTCCCAAGCAGGTGGGACTACAGGCACATGGCACCTTGCCCGGTTATTTTATTTTTTTTGTATTTTTAGTAGAGATGGGGTTTCACCATATTGGCCAGGCTGGTCTCAAACTCTTTGACCTTATGATCTGCCTGCCTCGGCCTCCCAAAGTGCTGGGATTACAGCCGTGAGTCACCACTCCAACCGACTGGCATTTTTGCTTAGTTACCCCTGAGACCTTTATCAACATTGGACAGGCCAATATGATTTCAATGTGATTTATTTTCAAGACCTGTAGAGAGGAAGGATAACTCTGGAACTTGGCATATTTAAAATTTTCTTCACCCATGGGACCCTCTGTGGGGCAGCTGAGATTTCTCCATTCATCACTTCATAACATCTGTTCCTCCGCAGAACAAAGCTTGGGACTGATGGTACTTTCTGCTTCTAGGGCCCTTGGTAGCTCCAATCAGAACATCATTTGCAATATGCAGGAGACAATATGGAGTTCTAGCTGAGGAAGAATAAAACACATTCAATGTGCACTGCTTCCATTTACCATGTCTGTGCTTCTCCGTGCTCTAAAATCAAACTGCCAAAATACTAACCACCGCTTTCCCCATCCTTGTGAAACGTGGGACAGTGGCACTGATGCTACTTTTCTATGCTTTGGCTTTTTTGTTTAAGGAAAGTTGTGAAACAACCAACATTGAAAGCAGTTAATCTCTCATGAGAAGCAATGAGAAAATACACTCAGTTATTTTCAGTTCCCCTAGGGTCAGTTCAGTAAACACAGTTTACTGAAAAAAGTAAAGTAAACACAGTTCTGTGAATTTCTCCCCATTTTAGAGTCTGTGGAATCAAGGAATACTAAGGAAGTGTCTGGAGGAAACTATTCCAAGGTCAGATACCCACAGCTGGAGACCAGTTCCAGTGGTAAGATAGGAAGCGGGAAAGATGGGGTACATGTTGGAAATCAGAGGAAAACCCAGAGCATGGACCAATCTCCCATAGTGGGGACTTTGGGGACAACCCACGCAGAACAATTGATGTGCACAGTAACGGCAGGTTCCACAAACCTTCTGCAATCCCTTTGTTCTCCAGGCAGAAGAACGTAGGAACAGCCAGACATGTTGTCTCCCTCAAAAATCTTGTGCTGTTATCAACTTTATGGCATCTCAGCTTCTAATTAACTCTTTTAGCTGGCTCCATGAAAGTAGATCTGGGGCCTTTAAATATTTTTTCTCTACTAGCAAACGCAATGCTAAATTTTGGTAGTAGAGAGTGCTTGAGAGACATTTCAGAAGAAAGGAAAGAGTTTTGCTTCCTGCTTCCAGTGTGCTTCTTGTGCAGACTCATGCTGAGTCACGCGGCTTCTCCAGGTTGAGCTCCTGTTGCACACAAAGCTTCCCCAGCAGGGCCTCTCCTTTCTCTGGTGCCTGGGTCCTGCAGTGCACAGCAGCCAGCAACTCCTGGTGACCAGCAGCTTCCTCCGACAATCTCCTCAAGTGGTTTTGTAGCAGAGTGCTTCCGATGAGACATTTCCCAGTGAACAGCTTTCTGGCAACTTCTGTAATTGCAGCAATTCCTTTAGGTGTGCCAACAAAGTTATCTTGCTGTCCTTCAGTGAACTATGGCCACGACTCCCCAACAAAAGAAGCAATAAGATACGCTAATTCTTTGCCATCTCTGCTTTTAAGATAAAAACGAGGCACTTGAGTTGTTTCATTTTTTTAATTCAAAATTTAAATGAATGGAAATATATTAAAAATTAACTTCGTCTTTCCATCTTGGAATCAAGACATGCTATTTCCTTTTTGGGGGAAAAGTAGATGTGTGTAAAAAAACAGAATTGCAGATTATCTGAGCTAAAAGGAAGCTTTGAAATCATTTATTCCAGTGACTTCATTTTGTAATGAGAAACTGGAATGAAGAGACTCACACAAGGGCACACAGTGGAGAAGGTCAAGCCCTCCAGACTCATCACAGTGCTCTTTTGGTGGTTATATAAATCTCCTAGGTGTTTCTAATATCCATCCAGGTTTAGAAACCTTAGGCCTAGGTAGAAAAGTGAAACCATATACAAGTGCACAAAAGAGGGGATGTTCACAGGATTCCACGAATCTTATTAACTTTAAGTCTATTGTCCAATTTCTTTGGGCTTAAAAAACAAAATCCGTCTTTCACAAACCAGGAGACACCCACTTGGAATAAAGGTATAGTCATGGTAATAAACAGCATTCTTGGATAACTACCTTTTCAGCAAAATTACTGAAACTTTGGCCTCCAAATTCCTCCTCCTGTTTGTGAACTCCCAAGGTGACCCTTAGCTCTGGAGAAGCCATGACACCCTTGGCTATACCAAAGCTCATTGTGGGGCCTGTGATCATTCTTTCTTGGCCTTACCTTTGGCTTCTGTATGGCTTCCTAGTTCAACACACGGTTATTTTTCCAGCAGGTCTTGATTCTACTTTAGTAGTCTCCATGCTGAATTTTGTAGTAAAATTTAAAATGTACATTTGGATTAACATATGGTGGCCAGTATTTTACTAAGCAAATTTAAGATCTTGAGAAAGAAACACTGTTTAATATTATCTTTTCAAAAAAGAAGGGATATTTGAACTCCAGAATATAGAAAGGAGGAGATATTTACATGAAGAACATCTTTATAAATTTAATAAATTTTATTATATAAAAAGTAACTACAATTTTTTTTTCTCATTTTTAGAAAAATCATTACAGATGGACCCTGGTCCAGGAACCAGTGTTTAGAAAGCACTGCTATATACGTTTTTAGGAATTCACAGGAAATTTGGTAGGAAGATTACATAAGTACACCTACACTATAGTGCTCCCTTCTGATGCTCAGCCAGGTGAACTGAGGGCCTCCCACAAGCAAGAGAATTTCATACACTCCTGTCAATGTTAAGGATGATCAGGACTTCTCAATTTGCTACGACATGTTTTAGTTTCATTCTTAGTTGTAAGAAACAAGTCATCTAGGCCGGGCGCGGTGGCTCAAGCCTGTAATCCCAGCACTTTGGGAGGCCGAGGCGGGTGGATCACGAGGTCAAGAGATCGAGACCATCCTGGTCAACATGGTGAAACCCCGTCTCTACTTCAAATACAAAAAATTAGCTGGGCATGGTGGTGCGTGCCTGTAATCCCAGCTACTCAGGAGGCTGAGGCAGGAGAATTGCCTGAACCCAGGAGGCGGAGGTTGCGGTGAGCCAAGATCGTGCCATTGCACTCTAGCCTGGGTAACAAGAGTGAAACTCCGTCTAAAAAAAAAAAAAAAAAAAAAACAAGTCATTTTTTTTTTTTTTCCCCCAAAAGAGGTTATTGGTTTTAAGGAAACACGTGGGCTAAAACTAAAATTGACCTGGGAATCAGAAACTCTGTTTATTTCATGGGCCTTTACTCATGATCTTTGTACTAAAAAAAAAGTAAACAAAAAAATGTTAAGCATGAAAATAAAAATAAAATATGTTTACTTGAAATATTTGCTATAGAAAGAGTCCAGGCATCAAATGAACTGGGCTTTCAGAATAAAAAGCACATGGTGGTTCTAATAAAAAAGAAAGTTACAAATAGCCTGATCATTGGTAGGAAAACAGAAGTTGTGACTTATAATTATTATATCTTTAAGGATTGTTATGTGTTACATTTCTGATTAGAGAATCCGAAATATATAGGAAAGGGGCTTAGACATTATTTATTTGAGGAGTTAATATTAGATAGGCTGTTCTTGTATTTTGAAATTTACTCCTGAATTCAAAGAATATTTTTTATGATTACACTAAATAATAAACATACTTATTCATATGGAGGAGGGCAAGGTGTCAGTCTTGTATTTTCAGATGTTTGTTGATCTCCCTTCATATGAACTAATTCTTTCTCATTTTTTACTTCAAATTTCTTAAAGAAAACTGTGATTAACCACATTCGCTTCTTCATGTCAAGTCAAAAATCATCGTCTAGGCTTTATTTTACTGCTTTTGCATGCAGTGCTCATCTTTGGTTCAAATAGCTGTAAAAAGTGCAGAACATGGGGTATGTATTGAAAGAAAGGCTATCTACGGACTGAAGGACAGGTAGATTCCTTAGAAGTGGGTGTGATGAGAAAAGTAGCTTAAATACCGCAGTCTAGTACAATGACTCAACCTTTGTTTTCAGCCGTTGGTCTAAACTCATTCAGTATTCATGAAATCCATTATACCCTTAAGCAAATAAAAAATCTGTTAATCTACACTGCCAGCAGCCTGCCCAGGCATATTGGGAGTCTCATGGGTGTATCTGTGAAGAAGATGAGCCCAGGAAAGCCTAAATTAAGTACATACAATAGGACTGAATCACATGTGCTTGACAGATTACATCAGAAAGACTTTTAACTGATCAATTTCCTTAAAGCGATTTTGATTAATCTAGGCTAATCAAGGTAGTGACTGGTAACTGAAGACATAAAGAGACTCAGTAAGATTTTCAAAGCATATGTAAGTTGAGAAGGATGTGCTAATGTTGTGATGTCTGCTCATTCATGTGTCAGTAGTTGTTGAAAATGTACTTTTATGCTTTTTAAAATTAGGATAGTAATTATTTTATGAGGCATCACAATAAAATCTCTCCCTTGTAAATGCTGAAACTAGTTAACATAACACCCCACCAGTGAAATTTGTGTGAGCTCCTCTTTTAAAATTTTAGAAGTTTGAAGAAGCGAGTACTAAAGCTTTTTATATAGGTATTGAAGAAAGAATAGCGCTGTCATACTACCAATAATATGAAGGTCACGACCCACAGTGTTAACTATATTGAAAAAAAATGGGCTGGGCATGGTAGCTCAAGCCTGTAATCCTAACAGTTTAGGAGGCTGAGGTGGATAGAGTGCCTTAGCCCAGGAGTTTGAGATCACCCTGGGCAACAGGGCAAACCCCTATCTCTACAAAAAAATACAAAAATTAGCTGGGCGTGGTGGCATGTGACTGTGGTCCCAGCTTCTTGGGAGGCTAAGGTGAAAGGATCACTTGAACAGGGAAGGGTGAGCTGCAGCGACCCATGATCGCGCCACTGCACTCCAGGCTGGGCTAGGTAACAGAGCCAGACTCTGTCTCAAAAAAAAAAAGAAAATGTGGTACAGTCATAAGTAAATAAATATATAAGATTGATAGCAAAAGAAACTTTAGCATGTTTCTGGATAGTTGTGTAAACTTAGCCAAGACACTTATCCTGAGCTTCCATTTTATAAGCACTGGAAACAGAAAAAACAAACAAAGCTTTTTCAGATTGAACGCACTGTATAAAGAATATTTTTACCCTGTCTAAAAGGGGGGAAATGAACAAAGTACATAAAGAGATTAAGAATGGGAAAATTATTAAATTATGAATTGAATTGGATATAAAGAAATGAAAGAGGAACAAAAACAAAAAGAAAGATGAAAAATAGGGAACTGATACTTTATATGTACGTGGCTTTTACCAGACACAAAAGGGTGGAGAAGCCTAAGTCCCGGCATCATGGGGCAGATCCAGGCTGCTCTATTCATCAGCTTTTGACCACAACCAAGTTCCACTGGTGCCCCTGAGACATCAGTCATCTCATTTATAAAAATAGTAGATGAGATCATTTGCAGGGTAACTTCCCGATTCATAACTTAGCTTTATATAATTGTAAAAGAAAAGGATTTCATTTTGCTTGTTTTAAACTGCCGGATACCAACTGTGCCTCTGCAGTACTAAGATACAAATAAACCAAAAATGCTTTCATGACATAAATATGCATATGCTCATGGATTGCCTTCAATATCTCATGCAAGCTCATTCATTAATAAAATATCAAAATTGTAAATTCTGTAATTACCTAGAATTTGCTTAACTGAAAAATACATTTGCCATGAAGGCACTGCCTGGACCTAGACATCAGGTGGACTCTGTAGGCAGCCCCTAAGTTCATCCTGACCAAAGCTAGACACTTGTCCCAGCTGCACGTGGCTTAAGTAGTAAAGCAAGTTCAGTGGAGTCACATGGCTATGCCCCTTACGGCTTAGGGGACTTTTGTGCCATATGGAAGGTCCCCCCTGTTGCTCCTAGTGCCTGGGGCAGGAGAGCAGACTATGCATCAGCAGCAGCGCCGAGACAGCAATTTGGCACTCATAGACAGATCTGGCTCAGCCTCCAGCAAACAACATCTGTCCTGCTGTTCAGTTTTATGGGGGTTACCACCTTCATGTTTAAATATCTAACATGCTCCTTATATAGCAACAAGGCAGAATGGAATGGGAGCTCGTTTAGGGAAAATGATTGGGTTCAAACCTTAGTCATCACTCATGAGCTAGGAGACTACGAACTAATCCCTAGATATCTCCAAACCTCACTCTTCTACTAAGTGGGAGTAATAAGTTTAATTGTTTAATTTTTCTTTCAGAATTCTTATGGTCACAAAAGCTTCTCCTGAGGTTAGAAATAAGCAAAAACTCCAAATCAGCAAAGGAAACAGACTTGAAACACATGCTTATTTCCAAAAGGTTTAGACAGAATCAACAATCCAGCCATGGTTGACCCCGTGAACACTAACATGTTTATGCCTTATGGTCCTTTTCTCTCTACACTTCCACTTTTTCATTCCAGTGCTTCTTTTAGTGTCCTCAAATCCACATTTACTCATTTGTAATTTCTATTGCCTTAAGGCCTGTGTCAGGTATGACTAAGCATTAACTGCAGAAGATGTCCATGACCTACCCAACACCATCATCATGATATAGTAATAGCTGACCTTGACTAGGTCTACTCTGTCTGCCATTGTGCTGAATGTTCATATGGATAGCTTCTTATTTAATCTTATTGTAATTCCCAGGAGCAGTGTTTTATTAATCAAATTTATCCATTTATAGATGAGGAAACTTTCCTACAATCATCAGTGCCTGACAGTTTCCTCAGACCTTTATTCCTCCATTTCCGTTCACTATTATTCTTTGTCTCCATGGTTCCCAGACTCCTATGTGTTCGAGATCTATCACTTTTTCTTCTTTTCTTTGGGCTGGTTAACATTCACAGTATTCTTTTGGTTCCTTGGCTTTTCTTTCAGGTCTGACTCCATTCTTCTTTTTGCCAGTTTCTAGATTCTTGGATTAAAAAATGATGTATACTGCATCAGAATCATGGAGCCTATTGGCAAAGTTTTTGCATTCTGTCAATTGTAGCTTCAACCACATTGTCTAATAAACAATAACTACTGCTTTTTGAGGGATCAAAGTATATCAGGCAATTTGCTGCGAGGATTTAAACCTGCACCATTTCATTCAGACATTATCATAGCAATTAAACAGGCTAGCTCCATTAGCAAGGTAGTATTATTTTACCGAAGCCCTTAATGCCAACACATCCAGTATATGACAGAACCAGAATCTCAATCAAGATTCATTTGTTGACAACAGCTACTACCTATAACCTTTACAATATATTAACTTTAACCATGCGTATTCTGATTCCTTATTTTA